TTTCCCTACACGACGCTCTTCCGATCTAATTATATTTAAAATACACAATAAAAAATTTCAAGACTGCACCACTATGCCAATCAAACTATCAGGCTGTTATGTTTGTGCATGTTTTTAAAATTCTTTTGTGCTAATTTAGGGTCCCATCTTTCTTTGCTTATATATAATCTATTGGTTCTCTTTTTACTGGTCAAATGATGCCAAATTGGGTAATGGGGTATTCAGCAAATATCAGAATCTGATTATTCTTTAAAAAGATAATCAAGGTATTGGCATACTGATAAGTTAATAATATTCTTATCATATTGTCTAAAAGCCTACTAGTAAATGTTGATATTCTTTTAAAATTAATACTATTTTTTAGTTAATTTAATAAACCAATAACTCTTTTATATTGTAATTAAATTATTGGTTAAATATTTCTAAAGCTCTTTGTGCTAAAATAATATCAATCTTGAGTTGTAGTTAGGTTTCTATTCAAATAAGGTTTACTTGAATAAAACAAACAATTTGAGTAAAAAATAATTCGAATAAAATGAATAATAGTAATTTGAATAAAAGCAAATAAAACGAATAAAACGAATAAAACGAATAAAACATATTATGAATAGAAACCGTGCATTAATACTAAAATCAAAAAACAACAATAAATAACCAAACAAATAGCTTTTATTGCGAAATAATCAATTTTGTTCCTTTGGTGTCAATGATTGAATTGATCACACAAGTAGTAGTCAATTTAAATGGCATTGTTTTAAAGAATTTATTCAATTTTAATGATTTTTAATGTTGCAAAAAATTTTTTTTTTGATACATCAATCTCAGTCCAAAATAAATCATATTTGTGTACTTTAAAGCTTCTTTATTTCTATTTGATAAATAATAATTTTATCCTTTGTTTATTTGTTTTAGTTATTCTGCCAGTTTTCTTTTTTTCTTGATTCTTTACTAGAATTCTTTTGAAAACTCTTTCCTCTTGGTAAATTTCATAGGTAATCTTTTCTTTTCTTAGATAAGCTTCAAGTGTTTGAGTATCATTTATTT